TCTCTCTCTCTCTCTCTCTCTCTCTCTCTCTCTCTCTCTCTCGCAGCAAGCCTAAAGAAGCCACCTTCAGCGCCGGTGGGTGAACGCTGCCACAGTTGTCGCGCTTTGGGGGCGGGGGGGGCGTGGTGTGATGACACAGCCCAAGGATGGGGGCCTGCTCCAGAGGAGGGGAACCTCGTCTGGAAGGGCCCTGAGCGCCGTGTGCTTTCTTGATGCAGCAAGAGTTTTTTTTTGGGGGGGGCGGTCAGGGAGAAAGGCCTCTGTCAGCGCCAGCGGGCATTCCAGGGTCCTTCGGCACGTTTCCCAGCCCGGCCACCTCGCCAGAACACGATTCCTGGCGACCAGGTGTTCCCAGGACTTGTGCCGCAGGCAGGCAGACCGCAGCAGAGATGGGCAGGGGGAAGGGTCGCATCCTGGAGCCATGGGGAGAATCGGGGGCGGTCCTTTGGGGGGGGGGGGGGGTCTGGCTGGAGAAGGCTCCAGGCCACCCCCTCCCTCCCACAAGGGAGGCTGTCCAGTGCCCTGCCCTGGTTGGGGGGGCCAGGTCACCAGACGCTGCCCCCCTGCAGCCAGGCGCTGCTTTCTGTGGGGCCTGCCCCTTGAGGCCGCTGCCCCGGGGGGACTCCGTGGTCGCTCCTCCTCCATCCTGCATGCAGAGCCCCCACCCTCTTGCCGAGAGGGGTGTCCAGCCTTCTCCCTGGAAGCTGTTGCTCTTCCCAGCCCCCGGCATGGGCCGCCCACTGTGGCTTGTCTCCGGGCTCCTTGGAAGCGCGTTCCCCAGGAGGGACTCGGCGGGGGCTCTGTGGCACCCTGGGGGGCTCCATGGGGGTGTGGGGCTGTGGAAGCTTGCCGGGGGGGAGCGCAGACGCCTGGACACGCCTCTCCCCCCGGCCCCCCGTCTGCTTGCAGAGGATGGCTACGTGAAGATGTTCCTCAGGGGCCGCCCGATCCCCATGTTCGTCCCGGACGCTGTCGTTGCCACGTACAGCCTGGACGCCAAGCTGGAGCTGCCCCACAGGAAGCTGAAGCTGGACTGGGTGTATCCTGCCTGCAGGCCCCCCGGGGGGGGGGAGAACGGGGGGGGCAGCTCGGTCTGCCGGGCACGGGCCGCCGGGTTCCCGAGCCGCTCGTTTCCCTTGACTGGCCGGCATCCGCCGCAGGTACGGGTACCGGGGCCGCGACTGCCGGGCGAACCTTTTCCTGCTGCCCACGGGGGAGATCGTGTATTTTGTGGCTGCCGTGGCCGTGCTGTTCAACGTGGAGGAGCAGCGGCAGCGGCACTACCTGGGCCACAACGATGACATCAAGTGGTGAGAGGGCGCCCGGGACGAAGGGGGTGGTGCCCCCCCCAGCAGGGGGGCAGAGGGGGCGGGGCGGGCCAGAGGCACCCCAGTACCGGGGGGAGCGGGCTGGCCAGGCCCCCTTCTCTGACACCCGAAGCATTTGGCCTTCCTGCTTTGGGTTCCTCGCACGAGGCGTGTGGGGGGCGGGGGGCGCACCTGCGGTATAGCAGTGATCATTCTAGAGTCCTCCAAGGCTGTACTGGGGCTTCTGGGGAAGGACGACCCTCTCTCCAGGGGGCTTCTGCCACTGCAGCTGATGAACTGGAATGCACTGGTTTCTGTTCATGGCATTTGCATCTATCTTCTGAAACCATTCGTCTTTCTGGAAAAGTCTGCCCAGGGGGCTTGCCCTGCAGTCAAAATCAAGCTGAGTGTCACTGAAGGAAAGCAAATTGATACGGATGCCGGGCTGGGGGGCAACAGGCTGGCGCGGCCCGCAGCTTTGAACGTCGATTTAATGGGGGAGGTTTAATCGGCGTGGAAAGCGAGACGAAGGCAGGCTGGGCCAGGCTGCAGGAGGGGGAGGCTCCAGCAGGCGTGGTGTCCCCGAAGAGGCTCTGCCCCCATCTGATCTCGCGAAGAGCTGGCCTGCAAAGCTCGGGCTCCCCGTGCCCTCGGCAGCCCTGGCGTTCGCGTGGCTTCGGGGCCCCTTCTCCCGGGGAGCCAGAGCGGCCAGGCGGGATGGGGGTGGGCGCTGTGGGCGGCCCAGGCCCGGGCTCCGGTGCAGCCGGCTTGGGTGGCCTCCGGCCTCTCGGACCTGTGAGATGGGAACGGCTGCTCCGCCCTCCGCGGCCAGAGTGCCGTTGGTCACCCGTGCCCTTCTGTCTTGCTTAGCCTGGCTGTGCATCCGGACATGGTGACCATAGCAACGGGGCAGATGGCCGGGACCTCTAAGGATGGCAAGGTGAGCAGGTGGCCATTGTGCCAAAGCGAGGACTCGAAGCGGGAGTGTCAGAGCGAGCACTGCCCCGAAATGGGGGCGGGGAGAACTGCAGGGCAGACTTGGGAAGGGGTCCCCTGCGCCTGAAGCCAGAAGCACTGGGGCAGCAGCTGACTTTGCCTTCTGTGTTGTCCCATTGCAATAGCTGGTAGCTGCCTCTTGGACATGGACGTTCCATTGCATTAGCACGGCTAAAACTCAGTCGATGGGCCTCCCTCCCCGAATAGGTCCGCTCCTCTTTGCTCTTTTCGAAAGCCCTGCCAGCGCGGGGCCGGGCCGTGTCCAGGCACAGCAGCTCCCTTGCGTCGACTGCATCATGTGGGGCAGGCCGGCTGCCCTTCGCCTGTCCTGAGCCGCCTCTCCCGCGTCTCTCCGCAGCCGCTGCCCCCCCACGTCCGGGTCTGGGATTCCGTGAGCCTGAACACGCTGCATGTCCTGGGACCCGGGCCCTTCGACCGAGCCGTGGTCTGCGTGGGGTTCTCCAAGTCTGTAAGCGAGTGCCCCCCCCCCGCACCCCTGATTCCCACTCCTTCGGTGTTGGGGGCGGGACGTCCGCAGCCTGCAGGCCGAGTCCAGCCGTGCATCCGGGCCGGTCTGGCTCGGGACCAAGAGCGCCGCAAGGCCAGCCGGCGGGCAGGCGAAAGACAGCAAGCGCCAAGAGCAGCAAAGTGCAGCGCCTTCCTCCGGACTCGCCCGCTCCTTCCCCTCTCAAAGGCCCCGGCCCAGCTCCGCAGCCAGGGGTCCACAGAAGGGCCTCGTTTTGCCCGTTTTGTTCGTGCTGCTCCCGTGGCTCAGCGTCACGCGGCACTTGGCTTCTGGGAAGCAGAAAGGGGAGCGGCCGGAGGCTTCTGATCGTGGCTGGAGCTGGCCGGAGGCTGGGCAGCCGCCCCGAAATGCGGCCGAGGGAGGCTTGCCTTCTGCATATTCCGGAGAGCGTGCGCGGCCCCTTCCGTGGCAAACCCTCCGCCTTGTGCTCCCCCCGCGGAGGGGCAGCGCCTCCCCCCCACGCCTGTCTTCTCTCCCCAGAACGGGGGCGGGCTCCTGTGTGCCGTCGACGACTCCAACGACCACGTGCTGTCGGTGTGGGACTGGCAGAAGGAGCAGAGACTTGCCGACGTGAAGGTAACGGGCCGGCTGCCCCGAGTCCCTGGCACTGCCCGCCCGGCCGCCCGCGCTCTGACGCTCGCGCTCTGCCTTCCAGTGCTCCAATGAGTCTGTGCTGGCCGCCACCTTCCACCCCACGGAGCCGGCCCTGCTCATCACCTGCGGGAAGTCCCACATCCACTTCTGGGTGCTGGAGGGAGGCAGCCTCAGCAAGCGGCAGGGCATCTTTGAGGTGAGAGCGGGCCTGCGGGAGAGGGGCCGCTTGGAGGGCCCGGGCGGCCGGCCGGCTGGCCTCCCTCCTCTGGACCGGCTGCGCCCCCCCCCTTGATTTCAGCAGAGCTCGTGGGGGCCCCGGAGCCTCACGCAGGCTGCTCTGCAGGCGCGTCTGCCCAGCACCCCGCCTCCACCTCGAGAATTGGGCCGGCCGGGAGGGCAGATCCTCTGCACTTTCCTGTGTAGTGGGCTTTATACCGGGATTAAGCTCCCATCGTCCTGCTCTCCAGTGCCCCTTAGGAGTGGGCCAAAAGGGGAGCTTTTGAGTGGCTTCGAAAGTATTTTGTACTCCCCATCTTGAGGTCCCTTCGGACTCTTCTACGCTCTTCTCTCCTCAGAAACACGAGAAACCCAAGTACGTCCTGTGCATCGCTTTCACAGAGAATGGGGACACGGTGACCGGCGATTCTGGGGGCAATCTCTACATTTGGGGGAAAGGTGAGTTCTGGGGGTGCGGCTGGAGGAATGTAATGGGGGGGATACTTCTGAAAGCTGTGCGGGGGGGTCCGCAGGTCAGTGTCTCCATGTCATTTCATCCTGCCGGTCGGCGGATGAATATTTCAAATGAGTAAGTTTGGCAGTCCGCTTGTGGGAGCCTTGACTTGCAGGTAAGCCCCAGCGTTTCGAAGGGGCTTCCTTCCAAGGATCACACGCCTGCTGCGGCTCCATCCTGGAGCCCGGTTTTTATCACGGGGGAGAGAGCCGGTTGCTGCTCTGAGGTGCCCAGGGCTGCCTGTGCCTGGCAGCCGCTCCCTCTGCGTTCAGACCGCCGTTCAGACCGGAGACGCCGCTGGGGTGAGCATGAGATCTCCGGCATGTGAGAATTTGCTCTCCTCGGTGCCGTGGGCTCCCCAGCGGAGACGCGGATGCCCATTTGGCTCAGCAAGGGACGTGTGGCCGGCAGGGGGAAACCGGATCTGCCACGCCGTGCCCGGCGCCCACGAAGGCGGCATCTTCGGTTTGTGCGTGTTGCGGAACGGGACCATCGTCACCGGAGGCGGCAGAGACCGCAGGGTCATTCTGTGGGGACAGGACTACCAGAAGCTTCAGGAGAACGAGGTACTGGGCGCCGGGTGTCCGGAAGGGACCGCGATTCCTCTCCTCCTCTGGCCTGGCTTCAGTTCTGCAGGGCCAGGGCTGCCCGGAGTCTGCAGGAGGTCCCTCTGGGCTCTCGCGGGAGGTAGCAGAGGCATCGCACTGGGGGCCCCCCCGAGCCATCATGCGCCCGCCCCCATCCCTGATAACTGGCAGAGCTCTGCCTGCGGAGATGCTGCCGCAGCCGGGGCTGCTGCTTACCGCCTCCCTGCGATTTTAAACTGTTCCAGACACATCTCTCTGAGCCAGCACGAAGGGCGCTGGGCACCTCGTGCTCGCCTGAGGGTCGCTTCTGCCTCCCCTGCAGGTACCGGAAGGGTTTGGGCCTGTGCGCACCATCGCCGAAGGGAAGGGGGACTCCCTGTTTGTCGGCACCACCCGCAACTCGGTGCTTCACGGATCCCTGGCTACCGGCTTCTCTCTGCTGGTGCAGGTAACGGACCCCCTCCAGGGGAAGCCGCCGAAGCTGCGCAGCCCTGAGTTCTGCTGTCTTCTGAGAAGGGGAGGCTGGCATTGGGGCTGTGGACGTGTGGGGCACCGGGGGGCGCGTGCCACATGACCGTTCCTCCCCCTGCGGCCAGGGACACACGGAGGAGCTCTGGGGCCTGGCCACCCACCCTGTCCTGGAGCAGTTCGTGACCTGCGGGCAAGACAAGCAGGTGCACCTGTGGAGCGTGGCCACCCACCAGCCCCTGTGGAGCAAGGGGATTGAGGTAAGGGGGCAGCCGCGGCCGAGCGGGGCGTTCCGTGGGGCAGCGCGCTTCGAGTGGCGCTCCCTGCCTGCGTTCCCTCTCTCCTCAGGACCCGGCGCGTTCCGCTGGCTTCCACCCAAGCGGCTCGGTGCTGGTGGTGGGCACCATGACCGGCAGGTACGGCCGAGACTCCTGTCCTCACCTTCCGCCCAGCCAGTCGGGCTGGCATCCTGCCCCAAAACCCTCCGCTGCAGTTAGCTGTCGTGTCCCCCACCTCCTGCCCCTGGAGCCGGGACTGCGTTCCTTCCTGGGTAACGGAACGGGGGCGGACAGGCGGGGCAGGGTGGCCTCCTCCCACCTCGCCCCCGCTTGCACCCCGCCTCGGTTCCCCCAGCCCGCCCCCCCCCGAGCTGCTCCGGCTCTCCTGAGGCGCTTCCCTCCCCGTCTGCCCCGCGCAGGTGGCTGGTGCTGGACACGGAGAGCAGGGGCCTCGTGAGCATCCACACGGACGGCGCGGAGCCCATCTCGGTGGTCAGCTTCTCCCCAGGTAGGGCGGGTGGGCAAGGCGCTCGGGACGGGCCGAGTCGGCGCGCCTGGGAGGGCCCTGCCCCTCGTTCCGCGCAGGCCCACCAGCCCCCTTCCTCGGGCAAGGGACCCCCGCGGGATGAAGGCCGCCCGTCCGCTCCGGCGCGCCGCCTCTGGGCCCCCTTCCTGACTCTGTTCTCGCGCTGCAGATGGCAAGTACCTGGCCCTGGGCTCCCACGACAACTTCGTCTACATTTACCTGGTTTCCGAGGGAGGCCGGAAGTACGGGCGCGTCGGCAAGTGCTCGGTGAGGGCAGGGGGCTGGCGGGCGAGGGCTCTGGGCAAGACTCGCATCTGGGGGGGGGGGGCAGCTGGATCAACATTCGTGCCTCCTGCTCCTGGCTGCCACCCCGAAACAGCCAGGGGGCGGGGGCCTCGCGTGAGGCCGCAGGTGGCCAGCAGGGGGAGCGGCTGTGCCAGCCCAAGGCCCGCGGCCCCTTCCCACGCAAGCGTGGCCGGGCGGGCAGGGGCTCCGCCGGGCTCCCCGTGGGCAGCGGCCGCTCTTCTCTCCCCCAGCGCGCCCCACGCCGGGGCTCCTCTCCACCTGGCCTCGGCAGAGGGGCGGGACGTGTGGCCCGGTGCCTAGCGCCCCTTTTCTGAGCCTTCGGAACGGCTGCTTCTTCCAGGTCCAGCAAGGAGACTTCCAGGACAGATCCTGGCATTTGTGGGGGGGGGGGGGGGGGGCGGGCTCCAGCGTCCCTCTCCTCGCAGGACCCACGTGGAAACTCACCCTCTAACGTCTGTTCCAGGGGCACTCCAGTTTCATCACCCACCTGGACTGGGCCTTTGACAGCAGCTGCTTGGTCACCAATTCCGGGGATTACGAGATCCTTTACTGTGAGTGGCAGAGCTGGAGCGCGAGGGAAGCGGAGGGGCTGCTCGCCCCCCCCTTGCCCGCAGGTGGCGTTCAGGGGGTGCCCCCTTCCAGGGCCCGCTGCCACCATCTGTTTAGCACTGACTCACCATCTCCGAGCTCGCGCCAACTTGTCCGCGTGGGGTTTTGCCAGGAAAGGATCAAAGATCCCGCCTGGTTAAAAAAGGAGGCCCGGCAGCCCTGACCCGCGTCTCCTGCACCCTGCCAGCTGCACCCTTCAAACCACTCCGGGAGCGCTGGCCGGGTCGCTCTCACTCGCCGGGGGAAGGGCCGTCGCTGCCCGGAGGCGGCAGGGCGGAGGGGGCCACGTCTCCTGCTCCTCCCTGCCAGGCCCCCAGAGGGGGAGCGCCTTGCCCTGTGGGATTCCGCGGCCTCGCGGCACGGCAGGACGAGGAAGGCCGAGCTGCGGCAGAGCGGTCCTCCAGCACGCCCGTCGCCTTCCCGGATGGCAGCTCCGCCGGGGGTGGCTCGCCCCAGCCCTGGTGGGGCTCGGCAGCCAAGCAAGCCGTACCGGCCCGTGGCTGAGCGTCCAGCTGGCATGCCCGGGGGAACGTCTGCCTTTCTGTTCAGGACCCGTATCTGTGGAAGGGCATCATGGGCCGGGCCAGCCCCCTCAGCTCTGTATTCTCCCCACGTGGGACAGTGCAAGCCCGTGAGCTGGCATGGTTCGGAAGGCTGGGCAGGGCTCCAGGGGGCAGGGCTCCAGTCCCCGCTCAGCCACGAGGCCCTCTTGGTGGCTGCCTGGCAGGGCTCAATTCTCAGCCGGGCCCACCTCCCAAGGACAAAAGGGAGCAGAGGGGGCCCTCAGGAGCCCTGCGGGGGCCCAGCAAAGGAAGAGAGGCTGCGCGTGAATGCAATGCGTTCCCAACTGGCCTTCCTGCCCACACGGGTGCAGCTGGCAGCCAAGGATCTCTCTCCCTCTCCCTCCCACCCTTCCCACAGGGGACCCCTCCACCTGCCGGCAGATCACCAGCGCCGAGGCCGTGCGCAACACGGACTGGGCCTCGGCCACCTGCGTGCTGGGCTTTGGGGTCTTCGGTGAGTGTGCCCCGGCGGGAAGGTTCGGCCGGGCGATTTCCCAGGGCTGCCGCTCTGTGCCAGGAGGCGCTGCTTCCTGGAAGTCCGCTGGGGCCGAGGGAGCCGCAGCTCTGGGAGCAGGGCGTCTGCCACCCACTGGCCGCCCTCCCCGTGGCCGGAGCCATAAGGACGGGCCCTGGAGCCCCTCGCCTGCCCCGCCATCCCGCCCTCGAACTGCACGCGTCTCTTCACGGGGCCGGGAACCCGCTTCCCCCAGACGCGCGGCACGGAGAGGGGAGCAGAACTCCGGGCCGCTCCGTTAGGGACCTGCGGGGGTCCGGCGCGTGGGCAGCACCCCCATAGCAGCGAGGCCGTGCTGAGGGGTGTGCGCTGTGGCCCCAAGGGGAAGACGGGCGGGGCGCCTGGGGGGCTGCCCGTCCCCTGCGGCCATCGACCCTCCTGCCCCCTCCTCCCTTCCCCGGCAGGGATCTGGCCGGAGGGCGCGGACGGCACGGACATCAACGCGGTCTGCCGCTCCCACGACGGGAAGCTGCTGGCGTCGGCCGACGACTTCGGCAAAGTGCACTTGTTCTCGTACCCCTGCTGCCAGCCGCGGGTGAGCCGCCCCCGCCCCCCGGGCTTCCCCCGCCCCTCGGGGCAGGGCCCTCTCGGCCGCGGGCCTCCCCCACAGCCTGCCCGGGGGCCTCCCCATCCCCTGCTGAGCGGCCAGCGGGCCTGAGCCCCCCAGACTCGCCCTCGGCTCTCGCAGCTTCCCCGGCCCTGGGGCTTAGAGCGGCTTCTCCCCCGGGGCCTCCTGAGCTTGGTGTGCCCCTGGGGGCCTGATCCTGCTCCCGGGGAGGAGGGAGGCCGGGGGGCAGCGAGGGAGCCGCTTCGGGGCTGTGCCTGGCAGCCAGTGCAGGCAGGGCCGGCTTGTGGTGCCGTGGCACCGCAGGGCAGGAACGGGGGCGGAGGGTCAGAGCCACGACGGGCCCGGAGAGGAGGACGTCCCCGTGTGGGCCAGACGCGGGCCGGAGCGCTGGGCCCCGACGTGCCGCCTGACCGGCCCCCCCGCCCCCCGGCTCTCCGCAGGCCCCCAGCCACACCTACGGCGGGCACAGCAGCCACGTCACCAGCGTCGCCTTCCTGCACGACGACAGCCTGCTGCTCTCCACCGGCGGGACCGACACCAGCATCCTGCAGTGGCGCCTCGTGTAGGAGCGCTGGGGGGCCGGAGGGGGCACCGGGGCAGGGGGTGGGGCGGGGGGGCGATCCTGTGAAACACTTTCTGAGCTGGCACGGCACTGGCGGGGGGAGAGGCCGGCGGCCGAGAGGGGAACGCGGGAAGAGAAAGGTGAAGTGGATACGGGCGAGCACTATTTTGCAGAAATCTCTATATGAATACTGATAATATATATCCAGAGCTATCTCTATAAATCTATATTTAAAGGCGGAAGGTTGCACAGGCTGGGAATGTGACGGAGCTGAGGACGGGCTGCGGGGGGCAGAGCGGGGGGGAGCGGGGGAAGGCCTCCTTCCACATCCGGGGCAGCCTCGGTTCTCCCCACGGCGAGGTCCTGCCCGGTGGGAGCGTGGTCTCTGCTCCCCGGGCACCCCGGCCTGCTTGCACTGTGGGTCTGAAATGACCTCAGACGAGAACCGGTTCCCCAGAGTCTGTTTCACTCTGTTTTCTCCCGTCCTCTGGAGCCTTGCCGAGACGGCCAGTCCAGCCCCAGGGAGAATTTGACCCAACCGCTCTGGCGGCCTTCTCGGCTGGTCACTTTCCCCAGCCTGAGCCACGCTGGCCGAGGACGATGGGAGTGGCGAACCCACGCGGGCCACGACGGCCACGTGGAGGACGGCTGCCTTATCCTGCAGCAGGGAAGGCCACACGCCGTGGCGACTCGGCCTGTCCCGAATCCCCTGCCAGGCCACTTATTGGATGGTACCAAGGCCAGGAGTACACGAGAGCTGGGGAGAGGTCCTGAGAGAGAAGCCCGGCCCGGAGGCACGCGCTGGGAGGGGCGGAGGCAGGCACATGGGGGGGGGCAGAGTCCAGTCCACTGCCCCTGTGCTCCGTTTCCCGTCAGGACTGGGCCCCACCACCTGCGTTTCTGCAGAAGACGGGCGGGGAGAAACGTGGCTGCCCCCCATGCCCGGGGGTCAATCAAGTCCTGCTCGCAGGGAGGAAGATGCAGAGGCTTCGGGGCGGGGGCGCTTTGCCCACCTTCGAGTCCCAGCTGGTCACATTTTCAGCCCAGGTTGGCGGTATTTTGCACTGGATGTACTGAAGTGGGGAAGGGCATTCTGGAGTGGGCGTTTTCTGGGGTTGGCCACGTGCGGGCCGGGGGGGTAGTGGGGGGCCGGGCACGACTGCTGTATTTTCCAAAGAAAACTTGGTGGCGCATCGAAAGTGGTTTAATATGAATACAGCCCAATAAAAGAGGCCTGACACCACACCCTCTCTCGCCTGCTGTCCCGACCACGAGCGATCTCACGGGCGCGTTCACACAAAAGATTTCGGCGCCCCGACAGCCGAGCACTGAGGCTCACAGAAGCGGGAAGGGGGCAGGCCCCTGCCCCAAGGAGCACACAGTGACAGCCGACGTGCGTTTTGGCTTTAGGGTGGGGCAAAGAAGTGCTGAAGCCCAAGCAAGAGGGTGGGCATAGTGGGGGGGCCTCCAAGCAGAGCAGGACAAAGGATGCACCAGTGCCCCCCCCCCCCCGTGAGAGTTGCCGGGCCAGTCCAGATTCTTTGGGGCTTATTGGGCAGCATCCGTGCGCTGCAGAGCCCCGGCCCCCCGCAGCCCCACCTGGCCTGAGCATCCCTCCTGCTGCCAGGGCTTCTGGCGTGCGACCTCTCGCTAAGGGTAGCAGCAGTCCCAGCGTGCCGGCCGGGAGCATCTGGGGCTGGGCCAGAATATTTTGAATTTCCACAAGTTTCGGACCATTAATAGAAACACAAGCACACCCACGCCCTTGTAGCCAGCCAACGAGTCCCGGGGGGGGAGTGGGGCCTCTCCAGCTTTCCTCGTCTGTAGCCCCGGCTGGCTGGATTATGCCTGCCCACTTCCTTACAAGACAGGGATTAAGCCACCAAAGGGGGAGAGGAAGCGGGGGGGGGGGGCGCTCTGGAGTTATGTAACAACGGTCAGGTGACGGCTGCTAAGTGGTGCTTTTCAGAAGGCTGTTCAAGGGAAGGCCAGCCAGAAATGGAAATAATAGCTGGAGTTGCAGTTGGGAATGGTTCCCTCTCTGGTCCTCCCTCCATGTGCACCCAAACTGACCCGCGCGGCATCTCCCGCTACTGCCTCTTCGGCAGACTCACGTGGTGTGGATGCGATGCCGCTGCTGCACCCGTGCCGGGAACCCTGCCCCTTCGCTGGCCAGGAGGGCCTTCCAAGCGTCTCGCCTGGGCATCCATCCCCCTTCCACGGAAGACGGTGGCCCACGATATCCAGCACAGCTCATTCATCACAGTGTGTGTTCCTCCTGCGTTCGCCTGCCTTACATGGCGTTTGGGCCTTTCGAGAGCGGCCCGTCCCCGGCAAGACCGGATCCTGGCTGGCCGGCCGGCCGGCCCGCTTGGGCGCTGCAGGACCCGGCCTGTCTGGGCCAGGTGCAGGACTGCTGCCTCGCCACATCTGATCCGGGTGCTCCGGGGCTTGCGGCACGTGCCAGTCGACGGTCTTTGGCGTGGAGGCTTATCCAGAGAACTCCACAAGCCGGACTCTGCTTTCGGGGTTGAACCGGCCCGTTCAGAATTTGAAAAATTGGCATTCTCTCTCTGTCATCCCATCCATGGATGAACTTTTGCAGCTGTTCTTGAAACAAATAAACACTAGCAGGAGAAATAAAGCAATCAGGCCATTTAAAATGTGAATTAAAAGAGAAAAGACTAAAGCCTCTGACGGGATACGGGAATTGCCCACGTAATGGGAAATTGCTTGATGTTGGTGCCCGGCCCAGCAGGAAGCAATAAAAGGGGCAGAAGCCGTAACAAGGAAGCGTCTAATTGAAAGGTGGAAGGACATCGGTGAGCCAGGAGCCCTGAGCAAACTGTGCAGGGGCCTTGGCAACGGATGGGTGTCGGAGTGTCGGGGGGCCCCTTCCCTTCCCTTCGCACCTGCTGACAGAGCAAGGCACTCGTGGGCGCTGGCGTGGCCGGTCACTGGGCGCCTCCGTCCGAGCTCCTCCACTCTGCTCTGGAGGCGGCTGGCAGCTCACGGCAACCCGAGGCGGCAGAGTCGGGCTGCCCCGGGGGAATCCAATGAACCCGACAACCAGACTGGGACCTGGACCGGGATGGTTGCGCTCCCCTTCACCTGCTTTCCCCTCGCTCCTCCGGGCACCATCGCGGGGGCACCCCAGGGAGGAATGGGCCCCCTCGGACTGCTGCGGCCACAGGCCAAGCTTGGCTCGCTCCCCGGAGTTCCCCAGAGACACGCAGCAGCTGAGCAGGCATCCTTCCGGGCCGCCATGGCAGCTGGCTTTGCACAGCACACGAGGCCGCAGTGGGTCCCCCCCACCCCCCCGGCTGCCTGTCCAGCCATGCAAGCCAGCCCGTTTCCCGGCCCCCCATGTGGGGATTCGACCTCTCCGCTGGCAGGCTGGCAAAAAGTGCCCGGCGGCCGAGTTCTGACGGGTCAAGTGCTGGACCTTCCCGGGAAGCTTGCTGGCAGGGGGCCCGCCTCCGCCGGGTTCGCCCAGCTGCACCCATCGCGGAGAGCAGGGACTCTCGGATGTGCCACGTGCACGGCTGGGCGGGCGCGCCAGAGCGTTCCTGCCACCTCGCGCGAGAAGCAGCCCGAGGGCTGGGGTGGGCAGGCGGGGCAGCTGCGCGAAGGGGCCCTCGCCTCTCCCTCCGGCCGCAGGGTCTCGGGGCAGGGGCGCAGGGCCTCCGCATCCCTTCCGCTCCCATCAATGGCGCATCTGCGGAAGCGGAGGGGCCCGCTGTCCGACATCCTCGCGCAGCAAGGCTCCCCGGGAGTTGCTCGCTCGTTACTGCCGGGGCCTAGGGGCGTGCAGGAAGAGGCCTGTCTCAAGTGCGTTGCCCCAGAGCTGCAGCATCAGCTCAGTTTGGAATAAGCCGCATTCCCAGTTCCAGATGTGGGGGAGATGGGAAAGAAGCAGGTGATTTTGAAATTGGCAGATCGTGGCCTTAAATATTGATTCATTTACTTATTTAAAACATTTGGATGTCACCTGATTGTGCCACAGCCCCTTTGGGCGGCTCACAACACACTGGGCAACAGCTGTGAAGTGTGCTTCGTAAGCATTGCACAAACCTGCATTTAAACGGGGGGGGGGGTTGGTTTCAGATGGCTGGAACGTCCCGACTGCTTCCCCGCGGTGGTATAGCCCCCACCACAACCCCCAGGCGATCACAGGCCGCTGCTGGGCTTCCGCCGACAGCGAACTGGCTGTGCTCCTACTCTTCTTGAACTTTTGTGCAGAAGCTTCAATTCCCAAGGAGGGGGGGTGACATCTCCCAGGGCAGACTTCTCATCTCCCTTCTGCTCTGGCAGTGGGGCCGGGAGCAGCCGCTGCGGGATCGGCCTTCCACCCCATCAGGCCTGGCGAGCCGAGGGCACGCGCCCTGACGGAGGCCCCAGCCCGGGCAGTTGCAGCTTCCGTACAGGGTGGTCCAGGCCCACAGGCTGGATGGGAGGCCTCTGGCTTGGCCAAGGAACTGCTTGCATGGAAGCCAGGCCCTACTGCTAAATTTGGTCCAGCTTGGACTCTGTGCATGCTCATGGATGCTCTTGCCTGCCATTTCATAGGCAGCCTGCAAAGGAAGTAGGCTTATGCTTTCAACTCACGGGATGAGAGAAAACCACACTTTTCAAGATGTGTTTGGGGGCAGACATGACAGAAAGAGGCCAATGAGCTTTGCAGTGTGATCATTTGTAAATCAATTCTTCCCACTTAATCATATCCCTGGGGGGATAAAATATGGGGAGGAGGAGGGGGGAAAGTACTGTTTGTGGAGAGAAAGACAGGATTGTGTTGTGGGGGGGGG